TCTACAATAAGTTTTTAGTTAAATGAGTTACAACATCACCTCATTTCCATCTGGGATCAATAAAGTATTTTTGAATTGAAATTAATTGAATTGAACAGGTTTGATGTGTTCCTGCTGAATCAGCACCACTCAGACTGTCCACAGTTAAATAACCAATAAGTGTCATAAACAGGTGTGTAACCTCAGTGAGTCACTGTGTGAAAACATGACAAAACAACGACAGGATCAAGTCTTACCTGCTGGGACTCGTCCACCACGGTCACGTACTCCACTATGTTCCCTCCTCCATCTGACACCACCACAGAGGTCATCACTCATTCCTGACAACACAACATTAACAGGTCAGGACAGAGAAACCAGTCCACTCTGAGGACCGGACCAGTCCACTCTGAGGACCGGACCAGTCCACTCTGAGGACCAGACCAGTCCACTCTGAGGACCAGACCAGTCCGCTCTGAGGACCAGACCAGTCCACTCTGAGGACCAGATCAGTCCACTCTGAGGACCGGACCAGTCGAGGACCGGACCAGTCCACTCTGAGGACCAGACCAGTCCGCTCTGAGGACCGGACCAGTCCACTCTGAGGACCGGACCAGTCCACTCTGAGGACCGGACCAGTCCACTCTGAGGACCAGACCAGTCCGCTCTGAGGACCGGACCAGTCCACTCCGAGGACCGGACTGGTCGAGGACCAGACCAGTCCACTCCGAGGACCAGACCAGTCCACTCTGAGGACCGGACTAGTCGAGGACCGGACCAGTCCACTCTGAGGACCGGACCAGTCCACTCTGAGGACCGGACTGGTCGAGGACCAGACCAGTCCACTCCGAGGACCAGACCAGTCCACTCTGAGGACCGGACTAGTCGACTCTGAGGACCGGACTGGTCGAGGACCAGACCAGTCCACTCCGAGGACCAGACCAGTCCACTCTGAGGACCGGACCAGTCCACTCTGAGGACCGGACTGGTCGAGGACCAGACCAGTCCACTCCGAGGACCAGACCAGTCCACTCTGAGGACCGGACCAGTCCACTCTGAGGACCGGACTGGTCGAGGACCAGACCAGTCCACTCCGAGGACCAGACCAGTCCACTCTGAGGACCGGACCAGTCCACTCTGAGGACCGGACTGGTCGAGGACCAGACCAGTCCACTCCGAGGACCAGACCAGTCCACTCTGAGGA